TTTAGAAGGGGCCCCCACCCTTTAATAGTGACTATAAGGACTATATTAGGGCCCTATTACATTCCTATTATACCACTATTACAGGGTGGGGGCAGCTTCTGATGAATAGTGATATAATAATTGTAATAAGAACAAGAATAATTAAGAAGAGTGAAGATTTGAGTAGGTTTCTGGGGTGTATACAGCAGGCTACATATATCGGAACTATCAGGGGATAGTCGATACTGTTTCCACGTGTAGTTCGGCATAGTCACGCCGATGCTTTGCCTGGCATCTGCCGGTGCTTGTGTGTGACCGATACTTCTGCGGATGCTGCCATGTCCATGCTAAGTTATTGTTGCTATCTTTGCTGTGACATCCAAGGCCAAGCGCCCGCCAACAGCTGGGAAAATGCCTTTTCGAGCGGGTGCTGAACAGTGCCTGCTGCAGGTTGCCGTCCTGCGAGGTAGCATGGAGTTGAAATTTAGGGTTTAGGGTTTCAAATTTAACGCGAGTCGCACTTTGAATGAAACAAGGCCAAGAAGATCAAAGCCAACGACGCAGCACCGCTCTGGCTTATTGAAGAGCGCCTTGTTTCTGCAAACTTTATGGAAAGTTCAAAGGGGAAAAGGAGGGGCTATATAATGGGTATATATATATATATAATAGCTATATTAAGGGTATATACCTAGGGGTCCTTATTAAGGGTCCCTCCTTTTACCCTTTGAAAAGTGTTTCACGGCTAGGGGATGTTTCATCCCAGAGACTATCCGCAGTGGACTCTGTTGAGAACGAGCCCTTAAGCATTGCAGCCTTGTCTCACGCTGCCCCAGACCGGTGAGAAAGTGCAGACAAGCAGGTCGAGACAAAATGCCTTCATCCGAGGTGGTTCCTGTCTGAAAGCGGTGATCCCCTCTCTGCTCCCTTTAAAATGCTATTAGAGCGATTTTCCATTCGCGGCTTGGACGATGATCCGGATATCTTCGAGGATGAGGACTGCCAATCTAAGGGCAGACTTGCGATGAGCGATGCGTCTTCCATGCCTGCGCGAGCACGAGTTCTAGTGGGCTAGTTCTTCAAATCCATCTCTGCTAACCTAAGCATTTCAAGCCCCTAAACCCTAAAGCCTAAAGCCAAAAGCCTAAACGCTGAAGCCTAAACCCCAAAGTTCGAGAGGAAAAGGGGTAGCAAAAAAAAAAACCAAAGTTCCTACACCCTAAAGGCCCTAAAGTTAGTAAACCCTACAGCCGAAGCCCTAAAGCCTACAGGTCTTACACCCAAAAGTTCCTAAACCCCAAAGTTCATAAGCCCGAAAGCCCAAAACCCTTACCCCTCCATTATGGCCCTAAAGTTCCTAAACCCTCAAGTTCCTACACCCTAACATTCCTACACCCTCAAGTTCCTAAACCCTCAAGGTGCTAAACCCTCAAGTTCCTAAGCCCTAAAGTTCCTAAACCCTCAAGTTCGTAAATGCTAAAAGTCCTAAACCCTCAAGTTTCGAAGCCCTTGCAGGAGAAAAGTTTCAAGATGTCCCACACGGGCTCAGTGGAGTCGCCCCTCGAGACGGCAGCCGCCTTGGACTCAAGCTTCTTGCCATGCAGGTGAGGGCCTTTAGGGCCGTTTAGGGTTTAGGTTTTAGGGTTTCGGGGTTTAGGTTGGGATTTGGGGGTTTAGGGTTTAGGGTTTCGGGGTTTAGGTTGGGATTTGGGGATTTTAGGGTCTAGGGGTTCAGGGAGTTATGGGTTTAGGGTTTGTGATTTCGCAGGTGTGGCACCTGTGGCATTCAGGAAGGCATGCGAATCCCGCAAAGCCCTTCCCCAGAGTACGTGTTCTGCAAAGGTTCTATACCTGTTCTATAAGGGTTCTATAGCTGTCTATAAGGGTTCTATAAAGGTTCTATAGCTGTCTTGATCAAACTCGCTGGCCGCACATGAGTTGCAAAGGCTTTCTCCGCCGCGATGAGATAGGCCGGCACGGCTTCGTTGAGTCGGTGTATGCTTCCTGCGGCCATGTGACAGAAACATATTGTCGAACTGCGGAGCCGTTCCTGAGTCAGTCTGGTGGTCGTGAGTAATGTAACTCATGTTGTCAGCAGCTCCGGATCTAGGATTCAGAGCCAAAGCTATGCGCAGGGCAACAGGAGTAGCACAGGGCCATACAGAAACGACGGAATGGCGGACCGATTGGACAGCGTGTCTGCACTTGGAGGTTCAGGGGTAGTTACAAGTGGGGCTATAAGTCCCCTGATGTGGGTTATATGTATAGTTACCCTACTTATAACCCTTCTACTCTAAACCCTAACCCCCAACCCCGCAACCCTCTAGCCCTATGGATCCTTTTAAAGGATCCCTACTTATGACCCTACATATAACCACCCATGAACCTCCAAGCGCAGGCATGGTGCGGAAAGTATTCCAAGAGTCCGAAAGGCAGCGTGACTTCGCTTTATCTCATGCAGACCTCGAGCGCATCCTGGTTGCACAAACGGGTGTAGGGTTTAGGGGGGGCTTCAAGAACCAGCTCGAATTCTCCAGCTGAGTGACATCGTATCTCATGTCCCGTCCACACTTGGAGGATCATGGGACTTAGTATGTAAGGTTATAAGTACCTTAGTTGGAGTTATAAGTAGCTATAAGTAAAGTTACCCTTATCAGAACCCTAGTTACTAAGTCCCATGATCCTTCAAGCAGGGTTGAGCCGTCATTGATCGAGCTTCTGCGAGGTGCACTCGGGGAGTCCATCCCTCCAGATCTGTGGTGCAGAGTTGTGCGAGGTCGGATCGTCAGAGCGCCCAAATCCCAAGCATGCACGCTAGGATACTTTAGAGTTTAGGGTTTAGGGTTTAGTGCTTAGGGTTGGGGGTTTAGGGTCTAGGGTTTGGGGTTTAGAGTTTAGGGTTTAGGTTTTAGTGCTGAGGGTTGGGGGTTGAGGGTCTAGGGTTTGGGGTTTAGAGTTTAGGGTTTAGTGTGCATTCGTCTGCATGTCAGGAGCTCCGACCTTCCACAAGCCCTCCATCTGTTCTCCTCTCTTCCCTTAGGCCGAAAAGACTACTTGGGGGATCATGGGACTTAGTATGTAAGGTTATAAGTACCTTAGTTGGAGTTGTAAGTAGCTATAAGTATAGCTACCCTAATCATAACCCTGGTTACTAAGTCCCATGATCCTTCAAGCAGCCCTCGATCATCGCGCGCTCTCATGCTCTATCAGTAGCTTTGCGAGCGTTCGCATGCAGCATGAAGGCAGAAGATTTTTGCAAAAAAACTCAGCTAGAAGACATGGGGATGGGGGGGCGGTCAGGTCACGTCTTCAGTATACTCTGACCTTCCCTCCTTTCCTCGGCACGTGAAAGCAGGCCAAAATTCCTGAGAACTCAAAGCACTTGCGAGACGGTACTCTGAACCCTAAAAACCTGAGCCCGTGAACCCCTGAACCCTTAACCTAAGTCCCAAACCCTAGAAACCCTGAACCCCAAATCACCGCGTTCTGAGTACCATTCGAGGTTTGGACGAGATGGAGCGTTTGCGAGGGACCGGGCAGACCCTTGCAATGCTCATTGACTACTACTACTACTACTACTACTACCACTACTACTACTACTACTACCACTACTACTACTATTACTACTACTACTACTACTACTACTACTACTACTACCACTACTACTACTACTACTACTACCACTACTACTAGTACTACTACTACTACTACTACTACTACTACTACTACTACTACTATTATTACTACTACTATTACTACTACTACTACTACTACCACCACCACCACCACTACTACTACTGCTACTACCACCACCACCACCACCACTACTACTACTACTACTACGACGACGACTACTACTACAACTACCACTACTATGTTTATTTGTTGTTGTTAATACTCATTATTACTGTTATTTTTCACTGCGTGCATTTTTCTTATCTCTGCCATGATTAGTTTTTACTGTTGATAATGAATTTATTGTCGTTATTGGTATCAGTGTTATCACTGTTATTGTTTTTGTTACACTTACAAGTTGTAACCAACACTACTGATCATTGTATCGGAATCGCTGTGCCGAGACTGAGCCTCGGGTTGTACAGCAGAGCTCAAATACTTTGTAAAGTTTGGGGTTTAGGGCTGGTTGGCTGGATGTCGGCACTTGTAAAGTTGACATCAAACTTGTGTTGCTGACGTCCCTCTCACCACCCGAAACAAGAGTTACTGCTAGGGGTTCGTTTCGATGTAGCTGCCAGACTCAGACGGACTCTGCAAGGGCCATCCTCGCCCGTGCTTTTGTATAGTTGAACTCTGTACATTTGGCTTTGCAGCTTCCAACTTTCCTCACCTTACTCATATCATTCCCGACAATGAGGGAAAGAGGAAGCAAGAGGAAGTGTGGCCTTCTACCACCCTGATGAAACGACAGGCCTTGACGGTCCTGCTCTGCCTGCTCCCAGGAAGCCCAGCTTATCACTCTTCCTCAGAAAGATCTGCCAGAATGCGAAGCCCAAGCACCTTCGCATGTTCCAGATTTGGCTGAAGGAGTCACTTGAAACGCAGCATCGGAGTGGTCACACCCTAAACCTAAACCCTAAACCCTAAAGGGCTTTGCCACCTCTAAGGTTGGATCTCACAGAGGAGCTCAGAGGGCGATCATCGAGCTTTCGTCGCATGCAGCTGTACGTGGAAAGCTTCCAAGTTGCAAAGTGCCATGATAGAAGAGCCCTAAGCCGTAGAACCCTACAGCCCTAAGAGTGGCCAGGTGTTGCTTTCCTTACTCAGGTTATTTTGCCCGCCCGGTCTTGCCAGCACGCATTCGGCAAGAGTTGCTGGAAGAGTATGATAACCTCGCCTACAGCACGAGAGAGGCCTGGAACGGGTCGCTGAAGGGTGGCCGGAGGCAGCTGCCCCTCGCGCCACTACCCTGTCAACTCCGTAATGAACCACTTTGGGAGACTCGGGTTCAACTCTGTTTTTGGCAAGGGACCCGAAGAATTGCGCTTCAAGCTGCACAGGCTCGCGTGATGCAAGATGCCTTGCGGAAGAGATTCTTCGATGGTGGCTCCAGGGTGACAAAGGACATCGTCTTCTCCTGTATTCTCCGTGCTATCGAATCGACTTGTCCTGCACGGTACCGAACGGCACAGTAGGCATTGGTTCCCTTGGCAGGTTCAGCTGCCTTCAAGCAGGCTTGTCCGAAGATACCCCTAAACCCTAAGCCCTAAACCCTAAAAACTAAACCTTAAACCACACTCCGCCATCAGGAGGATTATGTCGCTGCCATGTGCCCGACGGAGTTTCGACACAAGGAAAGCAGCTTCGCTGGTTCAGCGCTCGCGCGTGCATGACTACTTGGAGCTTCAGGGGTAGTTATATGTGGGGTTGTAAGGCCCCTAATATGGGTGATAATTATAGTTACCCTACTTATAGCCCGACTTACAACTACCCATGAATCTCCAAGTAGGACTGGTGGGTGCAGTGGGCCCGTGAGGGCGACCTTCGTTTAGTGGCCGCTGAAAGAGGCGCTAGCAGGTCCCCGATTCATGAGGTATTATGGGGGTTTAGCAGAGGGGCCTTAATAATTAGAATAGGGTTTTGGGGCCCACTGTACTACAACCATATTAAGGAACCACCAAAATAACATCTGTAGTACGCACATGGTTCTAGCCTTTCATGATAAGCTTGTCTTGTAGTTTCATGTATGTATGCATGTACGTACGTATGCGTGTATGTGTGTGTGTATATGTCTATACATTGTATAGATCCTGCATGGAGTTTGCTTCTAGCTTTGGACATCCGAGGCAGCCCGGCCGTCAGCCAGGTCGTAGGCCAGCTGCTGAGTGCTTGGGCGGCAGAATCGCTCTGTTATAGGCATGCTTTTCTTAGTGTACCTTTCAACACCCCCTAAATCCTAAACCCGTAAACCCTAACCCCTAAATCCTAAACCCTAAACCCCTAAACCCTAAACCCTAAACCCAAAAACTCTAAACCCTAAACCCCCAGACTTCATCTGCGCTGAGGCATGCAGGTGGCAACGGTGGAGCAGGCTCTCTTGCAGAAGGATCGGCCCGATCATTCAAAGGGGAAAAGGAGGGACCCTTAATGGGGACCCCTACCCAAAAATGGGCCATGTAATGGGTATCTAATAGCGATATTAAGGGTATATACATAGGGCCTCCTTTTACCCTTGGAATCATGGTGGCGAGGCTGTTTTGACTTACCTTTGGCTGGTAGGGAAGGGTAGGAATGGGGTACCATTACGACTATTATTACTATTACTGCCATTCTCCCATTCCCTACTAACCAAAGGTAAGTTGATTGCGGATCCTGCACATCTTGAGGAGGCTTTGTTCGCAAAGCGTGGCGAGGCTGCTGCCGGCACGAGGCTGGCAAGGGGTACTTGGAGGTTCAGGGGTAGTTATACGTGGGGTTAGAAGTGTGGGTTAAAAGTATAGCTACCCTACTTATAACCTATTTATAACTACCCATGAACCTCCAAGTAAGTGTCACGCTTGCAGGACCCTCGAACTCACGCCGCGTCTCATCTTTCGCGGAGCTGCTAGACCGTAAACCCCAAACTGCCAAATCTCAAAACCCTAAACTCTAAAACCCTAAATGCGAAACCCCAGCCCTGAACCCCTAAACCCCAAACCCCAATTCTCCTAAGCCCTAAACCCCTGAGCCCCAAGCTCTAAACCCATCCATGGATTCTCGCACCGGGATGCAGACACTCGCGGGGAGGCCAGTGGTTTGCAATTTTTCGGTGTGCGCATCCGTGAATGCGTTTCGGTAAGGAACTCTAGCTGATCTGCAGTTGGAAAGGGCCACTAAAGAATAAAGAGAACTCTAAACTCAGAGATTTGAGCCGCTTCATATCTGCGCGCAGGAAGAACTTCATCAAACCCGCAGTCCCAGATCGTCATTGGGCCCTGTGGAACGAAGCCTTCGACGTTCTCAGCCAAAGCGGTGACGACAGAGGAGAAGGAATGAACGCGAAGCTGAACGCTTTCCACGTCCTTTCGTGTTCGTCTGCTCTTAGCAGCTCTCTCTCTGTCTCTCTTCCCTCTCTCTCTCTCTCTCCCTCTCTCTGTCTGTCTGTCTCTGTCTTTCTCCATCTCTCTCGCTCTCTTTCTCCCTGTCCTTCTATCTGTCCTTGATTCACAACCTATGTACTTTATATGTATGTGTATATGTACATGTATATGTATATGTAGATGTATATGCATATGTTTATGTATATGTATATGCTTATGTCTATGTCTATGTCTAGCTGTATAATATGTATTTGTATTTGTGTATATACATATGTGTATATGTGTATATGTATATATGTATATATGTATATATGTACGTATGTAGAAATATATATATATATATGTATGTGTATGTATATATATATATAGATGTAAATATGTATATATATATATATATGGATGTTTGCGTCCCGGCGGGCCCCCCTCCTCCCTCCACCCTCTTTTGGTCCGTATGCTGATACGATAGTACATGAAGCATCATCGCTTCGCAAAATGCTACTGCCATATACCTGGCTACTTTCCTTCCCTCCCCTTGGTTCCCCTCCCCCCCTGTGGAACGGATTCTCTGCTCCCTCCTGAGCAGATCGGGGAATGGTTCATGTACATGTCGTTCAATTTCTACTCGTTCAATTTCTACTGCTCGTTTGCTATACACTGCTGCCATATACCTGCCTGTTCCCCTCTGCCCCATGCACCGTCTAAGCTGCAAGTCCCTTGCATCGCATAGTCAACTCGACGCCGTTTCATGTACAGAGCATTGAGCGAAGTTCTAAACCCTAAACTCTAAACCCTAAACCGTGGAGAGGCATCCTGCCGACTCTCTAGACAGAGAGGCCTCGATGTTCTGTGTAGGAACCTGAACATGTTTGCTGAGACGACTTCTTGCAGCTTGAGGACGTGTCTCGCTATCACAACTCGTGCGCCGGAACGACCTGTGCCCTGCAATCTGTGAGTTCATGTGCAGCTGGGCTTTCTCGTCTCGTTTTGTGGACCGAAGTTCAAGCCTTCTGCAGTGGCTGTCGAATAAACCCTAAACCCTGCAGCAAGGCAGCATTATCACAGGCAGAGCTGAGGGCAACGAGCCCGGTTTTTCGCGAGAGTCCTTTTTGCAGAAACTTCTTGAGCTAAGCCCCTGGCGAGTGAAGGGGAGAGTTTTGAGCCAGGGCACGTTCTGTACAGTCTAGGAATGTCTGAGACTCCTTGGCTATCGAAGAATATATGATTACGACACCAGGGAGGGAAGCATGCCATGCGATCTCGTCGCGATGGCCCATTCTTGTAACATATTCTGGTACCTTGTAGTATATTAGAGCCATTAGAGTCCATTAAGGTGTATTGTAGTATGTTGCAGTGTGTTGTAGAATATTATAGTAGCATATTATAGTACATGGTAGTCTATCATAGTGTATTTTAGTATATCAAAGTAGGTCAGTATGTTATAGTATGTTCTGCACGTCTAGACATCCATGTGTGGCTCAGCTTTCCAAGCCGCGAGGTAGCTGCGCTTCCCTTGGTCGACTCTTGTCGAGGAGTGATGGTCAAAAGTAGATTATAGTATATTCGAGTCTGTTGTAGTATATTATAGTATAGTAGAGTTTACTACAGTCTATTGTAGTATTTAGAGTTATTAGAGGTTACTACAGTCTATTATAGTATAGTGCATGGTTAAGAACTTCACTGCTCCGTGAGACGCCACTGCATCTGCCATGGGGCTTTGCAGGTCGCTGCCCATAGTTCTGCCAAATTGGATAACACTGCAATATACCATGCCATACAATGCGACAAAATACCACAACATACTCGACGAAACTATACTATACCGTGCTATACTATACTATACCGCATTATACTGTACAGTACTAGACTGTACTATACTATACCACAATGTTCGACAATATACCATAATGTTCTATAATGTGCAAGAAGGGTCTGCTACCCGGGTTGGGTTTAAGGGTTTAGGATGATGCCGGCCTGGCTACCAGTAGCACGGATTGGCAGCAAGCCTACTGCCCAAGCAGGTTAGCAGTGTGTCACCGATGCCGACAACGGGCGTTACTCAGACTGTTGCCGGCCCAAGCAACAACAGCATAATCCACTCTAAAACACCACATTGCACTGTAACATAACACACCACAACATTTCGCGGAGGGTGCCAGGCCAAGCGCTGTCACGCTGTAGGCGTGGCAGTGTGCTTATGGTCACCTACCCGAAGCTGTAGCTGCCGCTGGGCCACGGTGTGAGACGATAGCTCATTTCAGGAACTAAATGCCTTGTCGGGTTTCTCTGATTTTCATGTCAGATCTTTTCAGGCACCGGAAATCCAGCCTGAGCGGAGGCCAGAAATTGGAACATCATCATCCTCATACCCCTGGTATCAGGTAACCCCGACCCACGCCCCAAATTCACTGGCTTCTGGTGTGCTGCCCTGTTCTAAGAAGAGCCGGATCCAAGCGTTGATGTATGTATGACGACAGGTCGCTCACTTGCGCACCAAGCGCGAGACTGAAAAAAGACTGTCGGCTGAATGCAGAGCATCGCCGCTGCTTGAAGCAATCGGGCAACGACTCACGTTTGTAAGCCCGACACCCTGGGCCCGAAGCCCTGCTCCCCAAACCCTCCCCATCACGGGGTTCGTAGATGATTTGATTGCAGATTTAAGGTTTAGGGTTTAGGGTTTGTAAATGCTCGTGGGAATTTTACGTTGGGGTGATTGGATTGGTTCAACCAACTTTCGGGGAGTGGTAAAGACTTGGGTGTGAAACAGAAAGCCGCTGTCGGCCAGACATCTATAATATTGTTGAATGGTACAGCATACTGGTACTGTCCTTTACTATACTATAGCATAGTCTATCATACAAATGATGGATCAATTCGGAAGCAACTCGAATGCTTTTCATCCGACAGTTCTTACAGTTCTTCATTTTTAAATTCAGATCCACTCGATGCACAGATTTCAGAGAAGTCGGCATCCTGGGGTAGCAGCCTCTTGAAACGTCAGACTATGGCGTCGTTTCGACTCCGGGTTTCGGTGGTAGGCGATGAGTTGGGTACGGTCCCCACTCAGTACTAGTTGAATAATATTCATAATATAGATATGTTAGGACCTTAACAGTAGCCGTATTATAGACTCTTACTGTGAGGGGGCAGTACCTAAGCGACGGGAGTTCTGCGTTCGTTTTTGATTTTTTTGTGTAAGCTTCAGCAAGAGCGAGAAGCTTCACTCTTCCAGCCGCGGTTGCAACCATGCTGGATGTGAGCAATGCGTGCTGCGACTTTGGAAAAGGTGAGTGCAAGCTTCAGGCATGTTCACACGTTCTGTGATCAGCAAGATGTCGGATGTCAACACGACCGGTGCATACCAGAGCAGCAGAAACACAGCAGATCGGTTTACCAACATGTCAGTAGGATGGCTTGATTTCGATGAACCCTACATCCTGACATGCATGCCATATCTAGGACCGGCAATCCTGTATTTGTGAATTCTGGGCCCATGGAAGCCTGAGGCGAAATCTATTAAGCATCTGCAATGTCAGGGTTCATTGCTGGTTCAATCGCAGGTTGAATTTCCACCCTTCGATTCGGGATTCGTGCCTTGATTTGTGGGCTCAGAAGGCGCTGGCCCGCGCTTGCCGTTCTCTGCCATGGCAACTTCGCCACGTCAACCTTCCAAGCGCCAAGACTCCTTCCAGGATCTCTTGCGACGGGTGGCAGCAGCCCATGAGGCAGAGCTACAAAGAGCGCGACGGGGTGAGATGCCCTCCCGAGGCGCATCTCTGAGAGGAAGTATTCCCCGACCTTCGCAGCTGTCCGGATCGTTATTTCAGTCGCAGGCATCGGCAAACCCACCAGCGAGTTTCAGTATGCCCGGCATGGCCCCGGACACTCCGCTCTTGCAGCCGAGGGCATTCTCGGAAGCACAACCTCAAGCAAACCACAGCTTCTCGGAAAGCCCCGGCCCCGGCGTCCAGGAGACTTTGTCATAGCTGGGTAACATTTTATATTTTAATAATGAATAACAAATTCAATGTTTACTCCTATCCCAACTATGACCTAGGGTTTAGGGTTTAGGGTCTATGAGCCAAGAGAGTAGTCATTCCTAAACCCTAAACCCTAAATCCTAAACCCCTAAACCCTAAACCCTAAACCCGAAACCCTAAACCAGGAGAGTAGTCATTCCTTGGATGAAGTCCCTACGATGGGTCGTTCCATGCTGGAGCAGACGCACGAGGACCTAGAGGTTCGGGTCTGCTGGGCCGAGAAGCCGCCGAGTGTGCCTAAGCTCTTTTAGGGGTTTATAGGGGTTTAGGGTTTAGGGGTTTAGGGGTTCAGGGGTTTAGGGGTTTTGGGGTTTTGGGGTTTAGGGTTTAGGGTTTAGGGTTTAGGGGTTTAGGGATCTAAGCTACTACTGTTGATGATATAACCTCTGAATTACCTGAAGGACCTTCAACTCTGGGAATTATGGTATATTCCTCATGATGGGTAATGCAGGATTTCTATCATCAACCGTACTATCCAGAAATGGGATCTCCGGAGAAACCTCAAATGTCATGGTCACTTGAATAAAACTCCTTACCAAGAGCCCAGGTGCGATTGAAGAGTATCGTAAGCGTGCAGTCGACGGATGCCACTGCAGTCCAGAAGACCAGTGGGCGTCAGTCCTTTGTTCTCAGTCCCTCCGGGAATTTTCGAAACGTTTGGGACCTGCTCGGTGTTCTTTGCTTGATGTGGGATGTTATCATGATTCCCCTACAGATGTTTGACTTGGAATCCGAGACTCAAGTTGGCTTGGATTGGGTATCGCGACTTGAAATGATGTTCTGGGCCGTGGACATGTTGCTGGCGTTGTTTACCGGCTTTGTCCATCGTGGAATTCTCATCTTGGACTTGCGAAGAATTCGACAGCATTACCTTCTCAGTTGGTTCGGCATCGACTTTTCCATTCTCCTCACCGATCTTCTGTTGGAGTTTGCCTTCGTGGACAGTCTCGGAGAGGTGAAGGTCGCCAAATTCCTTAGACTCATTCGGCTCCTCCGCATCATACGCTTGGGGAAGCTCACCCATGTCTCGATCTTCCTCCGGGATCAGCTTAAATCCCGGGTGGCTTGTATACAGCTGAACCTCGGTATCCAGGTGGCAACTTGGGAAACTTTCTAATTCCCCTATATAGTTCCCATGAACCCCTAAACCCCAAACCCCTAAACCCTAAACCCAGGTATCGTGATTCTTTGCATCGTCCTCCTTCAGCACGTCGTCGCATGTTGCTGGCACGGCATCGCTTCCCTCAGCAGCGACTCATGGCTTGACCAGCACTCCATGCGAAACCAGCATGTGCCATGGACTTTTATGGAACCCGTCCATCAGCTTTTTTCTGTGCAAAAATTAAAAACAAACCTAAGCCCTAAGCCATATGCTTGCCCTGGCCGTAGCGGCCTCTCGAGACCTTGCGGGGCACCCGAAGCCCTAAACCCCAAGCCTTCAAGAGCTTGAAAGCTGTAGACTGGCGTTTTGCTGCCCTAAACCCTAAACCCTAAACCGTGAGCCCCTGAGCCCCACCATCCCTGGTGCTTTTGCCCAGGCGGCCCCAACACAAAGGAACCTTAAGCCTTCTAGATGCCCTGAAGTGGGAGTTTCCGAAAATAGGGGGCCTTAATGGCCTTAATGTAGTACCCTAAATAGTAAGATCCTTACTATAAGGACCTGAAAATAAGGTACCCCCCAATCTTCGGAAACTCCCAAGTCTTTCGAACTGAGTGCCAGGTCTCATTTCAATACGCCACGGCCATGCGCTGGAGCCTTGCTCAGCTGGGGATCGGCGGCACGGAAATTGAGGCCGTCTCCTACACAGAGGCCTCGCTGTAGGGTCTGGGATTTCGCTTTAAGGAACCCTATAGATCCTTTTAAGGGACCTTATAGATCCCTTTAGGGAACCCTACAGATCCCTTATCCCTGGGCCTGCGATGGGCGAGGATTACAAGTCAGCTGCAGCTGGAGTTCCAAGTGCGATAGACTGAGTAGCACACCTAAACCCTAAACCCTAAACCCCTAAACCCTAAACCCTAAACCCCTAAACTCTAAACCCCTAAACCCTAAACCCTAAACCCTAAACCCTAAATCCTAAACCCCTAAACCCTAAACCCCTAAACCGCTTTCCCAGGGTCCCCATCCCGAGCTGACGCAAAGCTCACGACCTCAGAGGCCTTCCTCTCGCAGCCACACCTTCAAGGGAAACGATCCTCAAAAAAAAAGATCCTCTGGGAAATTCCTAAACTTACCTTTGGAGGAATGGGGTACAATTATAACTACTATTACTATCATTCTTCCATTCCCTACTAACCAAAGGTAAGCAAACTGTAGTCCCGAAGCCCCTTGAGTCTAAGCTCTATTGAGCCCGACACGTAAACCCCAGGAGCCTAAACCCATCCTTCAACTCTAAATCTCGAGGCAGTCTACTCTGTGGTCGTGGCCTTCGTCTCCCTGATCTCTTTTTCCACTGTGATCAGTTCCATGACCTCCCTCATCTCAAGCCTCAACAAAGCAAAGGCGGGGGCCTTAGTTGAATCGCCAAGTCCTCCCTCGCTCCATCCAGCCATCTATGCATACATTACTCACACCATTTGCACACAGATATGTGTGTATATACTGATATAATACGCACACATACATACATAAGATACGTGTGTTGTGCTGTATGTGCTGTATGTACTTGTTACTAGTTACTAGGTACGATGTGCACTTAAGTACATACCGCATGATGGCATGCATGCGTCAGGTATGTATGTAGATATGTACGTATGTGTTACTATTTGTATCTATTAATATGTCTATATATATATATGCTTATGTACATGCATGTATATATGTGCATGTATATGTTCATATACACATGTGGTGAGCGATCTATGTATATATATATATATGTATATATATATATATATATATAAATACACATATACATATATATATATATATATATATATATGTATGTATGTATATGTATTAGATGGACAGATAGGTAGATAGATACATATGTGTACACACATAGGTAGGTCGGTATGTAGATAGGTGGGTAGGTATGTATGTCAGCAGGTATAGATAGATGGACAGATAGATAGATAGAAAACCCCGAGCCCCTACACCTTTAAACCCTCAAGCTCCAGAACTCCTAAAAGCTAGTATTCTTCAAGCTGTACGCACGGGCTCCGGATTTCAATTGAATGGATGGCGGCGTTGACAGGTTTCCTTTCGTCGGTCCTTTCCATCCTCAGTGTGTGGGCTTGGGGTAGGAGTTCTTCACAGTGAAACCCGACAGATATGCTTCAAGCCTGAACCCTGAATCAGAATTCCCATAATCCTAAACTCGAGACTCTTGGCTTGAAGCCTGTATAAACCCTACACTCCTACACCCTAGCCCAAACCCTAATTGGAGGTTCATGCTTAGTTATAAGTAGGGTTATAAGCAGGGTAACTATGCTTCTAACCCATACTAGGGGACGTATATCCCCACATATAACTACCCTAAGCCCTAATCCTTATAAGCCCTAGAGAACCCTTAAAGGAACTCCCATATCCCACTCACGCAGAGGTGGAGGAGACGGATCAGTTTTGGTTGCTCCGTAAGTACCTGCGAGACCAGGGCATCGCGGGGAGCCTGGCGGAGCGCATCACAGATTTCTTGCGGTGGCTTGCATGCATGTAAGAGTTTAGGGTTTAGGGTGTGGGGTTTAGGGTTCAGGGTTTAGGGATTTTGGGTTTAGGGTGTGGGGTTTAGGGTGTAGGGTTTATGGAGTTTGGGTTAAAGGTTGTGTTGGTGTGCGTGTGAGTGCGCCCCGATTGAAAGCTATGGGGTGGGGGCACGGCTGACAGGATGCAGGTGAGCAGACTCAGGCATTTTGATCGGAGCAGTTGTCGAAGGATGGGCAGTGCATGCCTGAAACTTACGGCCCAACGAAGCTGTGAGCGCATGGTGGTCTCATCAGCCAGACGTAGTTGCAGCCAGAAAGCCACAAACTGCAACAGCTGTCCTTCGATATTTCCAGTGGCAATCATACATCACGTCCTCAGGGAACTGTTAGGCCTGTTAGGCCATTAGCAGGAGACCATCCATGCATCAACAGTGTACCAATGTACATCGATAAGACATTTGCGTGTGTGCATCTGGAACCGAAGAGCTCAACCCCAAACACTAAATTCTATTCCTGAAACCCTAAACCCTAAGCCTTAAACTCTAAACCCTAAATTCGAAGCCCTAAACCCTAAAGCCTAAGCCTTAAACCCTAAACCCTAAATTCTAAGCCCTAAGCCTTAAACCCTGAGCCTTAAACCCCGAACCCTAGCTTCTAAGCCCTAAACTCTAAGCCCCAAGATCTAAACCTCAAACACCTACTGGCTAAGTCGGGTTTGCTTGTCGCATGAGGGGCCGAAGAGGATTTAGGGTTTAGGGTTTTAGGGTGAAGGGTTTAGGGAAGTTGAAAGTGGGATTATAATTATAAGTCCCTCATTATTAATATGGGTTATAAGTCTAGTTACCCCACTTACAACCCTGCTTCTACCTACCCATGAACCTCCAAGCAAGACCTGAGCATGGAAGCGGGGGTGAGGAGAGGACGAGGCCTTCTGCAGAATAGGGGTACCTTATTTTGGGGTCCTTATAATCAGGATCCTACTATTTAGGGTACTATAGTACTATATTAGGGTCCCCTATTTTCGAAAACTCCCATGTCTCTAAAGCGAAGTCTGAGATGACAAGCCCCAAGCTCTTTTGTGACTTGTAGCCCTGCTCTGCTGCCTTTGTGAAGCGAGGTATGCTTACCACACCCATGCTACACAGACTGCCGATCGGCCTTACATCCTTCAGCTCTTGTCGAAGCCCTTGCAAGGGGAGTTGAGCTTTAGCATTTATCGTGACAGCATCCTCAAGATCTCCTTCTTGGCGGAAGTGGCACAGAGTGTGGCTGTGAAGAACGACAGTGCGTTTCACAAGTTGGCCAGCGAGGCTGTCAGCATCATCGATACAGGTCATGGTGATCTGGTCTTCTCAACCAATGGAGAGGCAGAAGCGTCGTACTTGCCCCTGCAAGGCACCTTGAGGTACTTACATGGTCAAGGAGAGCAGGAGACAGAAGGACAAAAGTGGGTTGCGGAGATGGCCCTGTGGACCAAATGGCTCCATGCAGGTGACCTTCTCTCCGTGAATTTCTCGCGTCTCGTCTGCCTGGATGCCCAGGAATTCTGCAACAGCATCTTTACCTCGCCGCTTTGTCACAATTTGGCAGCATTTTATTACATTTCTGTGGGCACTCAAACCCTGAACTCTAAATCCAAGAAGGAATCGAAGTTGACACGTTTCATACATAGGTTTGTTAAGAATTCAATAAGGAATAGAAGTACACATTCTTATCTTAATAGTCTCTCAAAGGGGACAAGGAGGGACCCTTAATGAGGACCCCTAGGTATATACCCTTAATATAGCCATTATATACCCATTATATAGCCCCATTTTAGGGTAGGGGCCCCCATGAAGGGTCCCTCCTTTTCCCCTTCTAGGACCTAGAGTAGGCCCTTATTCCCTTTTTTTAGGGTTCAGGTTCCCTTATAAGCCCCTTTAAACCCAAAAGGGCACCCTTTTTATTCCTAGGTTACTCTTGGGTTTAGCCTTTGAGTCTCCCAAAAATGAACCAGGCTGGAGCTCCGGAACGTTGCGCATCTCTATGCGAAGCTCTATCTGGAGCGACTAAGGCCTTCCCAGACAGGAGAAGTAGCCTGAATTAAGGGTTTAGGGTTTAAGGGTTTAGGGTTGCTAGTAATTCGAATACAATGACCATTACTAGTTACTATTGCTATTGCTATTCCTATTACTATCAGACTATCACTATCACTTTTAGTTCTACTGCTACTGTTGCTCTTACTATCACTGGCACTAGTGGCATTCTTATTGTTATGATTTCCATTGTTTGTGTTCATTGAAATGATCCCTCCTTGAGCCCCAAACCCTGAACTGCCGAGAGCGCTGCTGACCATATGGGCGCTCGAGGCTCCGACCGAGGGCCCCCGGCCGAAGATTCCGTCAGAACGGTGAGGGAGGGTAAAGCCTTGCGGTATACGAGGATCCGCGAATGACGTCTTTGCCGTCCGGCAATCAAGAAGAGCCTGGGGGAGCCTGCAGGCAATTCGAGGGGCCCCAGCCTGGCAGATTCGGGGACCCGTTTTGGGAGGGAAGCTGGCTCTCCCAAAAACGGGCTGTGCTGTGCGCCCTGCCCGCCCTGCCCTGCCGTGCCGTGCCCAGCCCTGCCCTACCAAATGCCCTTACAAGGTGACAGAGGGGTGTTGAGGGTAGGTTGTTTGTTGGAAACCTTTTCGTCGAGCGGCCGGTACAGGCCACGACAACCTACAACTCGACACCAATCCACGTCAGCTGTGGTTTGCTGGGAAAGGTGCTTGCTTCTGTGTCGAACTGCGAAAAGAAGCAGAGAGCAAGAAAGCACCCCTCGAGGGGGGTTTTGCGGGTGAACCCTAAACCTTGAGAATAGTTGGGGTGGTCGGGGCGGGACTACATGCTGACGCAAGCGCACGATAAGTGGGTGTGCCCTCATTCTAAAGAAGCGCAGCCGGCGCGCATACTTTTACAAACCTTCAACCCTAAACCCATAAACATTAAACCCAAAACCCTAAACCCTAAACATTAAACCCTAAACCCTAAACCCTAAACATTAAACCCTAAACCCTAAACCCTAATCCTCCTTGGGCCCCAAACCCTCAAGCCGCCTGAACACTTAAGCCCGACGAGGCAGCAGCGCATCCTTACGGACCTGTGGCTCTACGAAGATGCCTGGGCCTGCAGAAGCATATTTCGGGCTTTTAGGGTTTGTGGTTGGGTACGGCCCGCATAACAGTAGCAGTCTACAATAGGGCTACTATTAAGGTCGTTATATCTCTATATTGTGAATATTATCCAACTGTTGCTGAGTGGGGGCAGTACCCAAGGTTTATGGTTTTGGGTTTTGGGTTGTGTAGGAGTTCTATCCTGGGCCTGTTTGCATTTTATTCAAGGTTCAGCAGTCCGGAAGTGAAGATTTCATGAGGCAACCATAAGCCCTGACCACGAAACAACTATGAAGCTGCAGAGCTTGAGGAAATAAGCGCGCCCGAACGCCAACAGTCGCGTGGGGCCGAAAAAGGCCGGGCAATGAAAGCGTGAAGTCGTCCAATTCTAAACCCTAACCCCTAATCCCGAATCCCCCCCCAAAACCCATAAACCCCTAAACCCTACACCCAAACCCTAAGCCCTAAACCCTAAAGGTTGAGGGTCTCGGGGCTCATGGTTGGAGCCTTTCCAAAGTTCACACCAAACAGGGTTTAGAGGTTTCGGCGTCTACAGGGCTCCTTAGAAATCGAGGGTTTGGGAACATTAGTAAGAAAATCCCTACCGCACATGAGCCACGCCAATCGCACCGCAAACCCCTAAACCCTTAAACCCAAGATGCAAAAATTCAATACGAGGTCTGTCCAAATGATCACTTATGATGAAAAAAAGAAAAGGCCCCAACAGAGGGCTTGTATCAAAGCTTTGTAAACAGTGAAGAGTTCTGTCGGCCTAACCCCACCGATCTGGGCTTTTGGGGTTCTGGGTTTAGGGTTTGGGTTTTTGAGGGCTTGGTGGAAGTAGCGGTCTCACAGAGACCCGGGCTGCGGGCTTGGCTTGGGGTCGCCAGGGATTTCAATATGAGGGCCTTTAACTAGATGAAAGTTCTTTTCTCTTCATCTTTCGGCGCACTGGCGAAGCTCCGCACAAGGGGGTCAGATCAGGAACCCGCAACATCCTCATCGCGTACGTCAGTATGACATGCTGAAAAATGTTAGCAACTCCATCTGTAGCTGTTGTCCGTGCGTGACCCAGGCCCTACTTGGAGGTTCGTGGGTAGTTATAAGTAGGGCCGTCGGGTTATAAGAAGGGTAACTATACTTATCACCCAGATTAGGGGACTTATAACCCTACTTAGAACTACCCATGAACCTCCAAGTAGCCAAACAGAAAAGCAAGTGAGCAAGAAAGCAGGACAGAGCCCACGCCGAGGCTCGTGAACCCCCACGCAATCTAAACCAGAGCCCTAATTTCTAAGCAAAAAACCGTAAGTTCTATACATTGGAAGCCAACTCGTCAACCCTTCTAAACCCCCCTAACAGCAAACCCGAAACGCTTGGAGGTGGCTGGCGGTGTTTCTGGGGCGGACGCTGGGCAACCCACCTTCGTGAAACCCAAGTTCTGCCCTCACAGCCTCCAGACGTGGATCTGAACTAAGTTTAGGGTTTCGGCGCTTTAGGGTTTGGGGGGTAGGGATTTGGGCCAAGGCTCCCTGTTGGGAGCTTGTTCGGTTGGTTGTGGCCCGAATCGTTAATGGTGGTTCATATCACCACTATTGATTAACGTAGTGATTGCTTCCATCGGACGCTTGGCTAAAGCTGCACCGCGAGAAATCCCGAGGCTCTTAGCCAACGAACCCAGAGACTCCAATAGCCAGGCTTCTTATGCAGGATTTTTTTTGAGAATGTTCCGTCACCGGCGGTCTTTGGAGTCTTTGGGAACACTCTTGCAAGGATGCCGGATTCAAGACGGCTCTCATAGACGTGTTCTCCTCCCGGCTGCGCAGAACGTTGAACCCACAGATGAGAACACGAGCCCACGATGCAAACCTCTGGACTTGAGAGGACATGGCTTAGGCTTAAACTCTGAACCTAAACTCGAAATTAAACTCTCAGTCGGGAAGATGATCCTATGTTTTCGTGTATCATAGCATAGCATATCAAAGTATAATACAGTATGTGAGAGTCTAGTAAAGTATAGTAGATTACCGTATAGTACGGCATTGGCAGTGGTATAGTTTGGTATAGCATGGCATTGTAAGAAAGATTGCAAGTCGTGGCTAAGCGAACTGCTTTTCTGGCATGCTACATCTTACAGAAGGCTTAAGCCCTAAACCCTAAGAATTTCAGCTGAGGTCGTTTGATTTTGTATTGGTTCTTTCAGCTGGATTGGACATGTTCGTACTGAGCCCCAAACAAACCCCAATAGCCGCCAGCCCTAGCTGCAACAGCCTGAAATCATACGCACCCCAAGTAGCAAGTCATAACAACAATAAGGTAACTCTCACAGCAATAATAATGACAGTGGTAGTGGTTGTGGTCGTGGTCGTGGTGGTGGTCGTGGTAGCGTGGTAGTGGTAGTGGTAGTGGTGGTAGTAGTAGTAGTGGTGGTGGTGGCGGTGGTGGTAGTGGTAGTGGTAGTGGTAGTGGTAGTGGTAGTGGTAGTGGTAGTGGTAGTGGTAGTGGTAGTGGTAGTGGTAGTGGTAGTAGTAGTAGTAGTAGTAGTAGTAGTAGTAGTAGTAGTAGTAGTAGTAGTAGTGGTGGTAGTAGTAGTAGTAGTAGTAGTAGTAGAGGAGGAGTAGTAGTAAGTAGCAGTGTCAGCAGCAGAAGCAGTAGCAGTAGCAGCAGCAGGAGTAGTAGTAGTCGCAGTCGTAGTAGCAGTTGTATTGCTAATGGTGGTACTAATACTGATAATGAACAAATCCTAAACCCATATCCACGTCTTCTGCAGAGCGGGAGGCCCTGAGCAAATTTCCTGCTGTTGAGTTTAAGCTGCCTGGGGCCACCACAGGGAGGGAGAGAGAGAGAGAGAGACAGAGAGAAAACCCTCCATACAAAGTATGTCTGACATAGGGTTTTGTGGGGTATTCTAAACCGTAAACCCTAACACCATGATCTTCTTGGTGCGTCTAGGCCTTCTAGGGCCGTACCCTGTAGGCTTGTGGCTGTAGGACTTTAGGATTCAGGGTCCGGGGCCTTCTGGGCTTCGGGGTTTAGGGTTTGGAGTTTAAAGGTTTAGGGTTTGGACTTTAAAATTTAGGGTCCCGTTTGGACTTTAAAATTTAGGGTCCCGTTTAGACTTTAAAATTTAGGGTCCCGTTTAGACTTTAAAGTTTAGGGTCCCTGTTTGGATTTAGGGTTCGGGGGTTTCGGGTTTAATTAATAGGGTTTAGACTCTCGGGTCGGTTTTGGGCTCAGGGTCTTGGCTCCGGCGCTTAAGCTTCGGGGTGCCAGGTTCAGGGCCTCAGGTCAATATAATATGCATATCATCAAGAGTAACAAGAAAGACGGTATGATGGCATGAATCATCAAGGTAATGATGAGAATGATGGCTATAATGGTAGGAGTTAGGATAATGATAGTTATAATACTAATTATAGTGCTTATACTGATAACATCACTGATAGTAGTAAGACCAGGACTCCCAAGGGCTTGGCTGGCGCTCCGTCTCCATGAATCGCGCTGCAGCCGATACCTTCGGCCACCTAAACCCTAAACCCCTAAACCCTAAACCCTAAACCCTTAAACCTTAAACCCTAAGCCCCTAAACCCTAAACCCTAAACCCTACATTCTCTGCTTGTGGTCCTGAGGTGGAGCTTTTGGTTTTTGTAAGGCGTAGGATTTAAGCATGTCTAGGGTTTTGGGGTTTAGGGTTTAGGGTTTAGGTTGCACTGACCATTGCCTGAAACGGCAAACATGACGATTGTTGTTTGGTTTTCTGCTTTTTCGACATTGTCGAGGCAGGGCTGTTCGAATAGCATCATTAAGCCCTACTGTCGTGTTCGCAGAAACTGCACGGCCAGGGTTCTATTGGTCCCCAAAGTAGCTGATATAGCTCTTTCGATCCTGAAATAACCCTAAACCCTAAACCTTAAACCCTAACCCCGCAGAGCATCGCTCGGGTATTCCTGGTCCGCGCGATAGTTGTTGACCAGTATACGTTGGGTACGGCCCCCGCTCAATAATAGTTGAATAATACTCATAATATAGATATAGTAGGACCTTCATCGTAGCCCTATTATAGGCTGTATGGGGGCCGTACCTAAAGTGTAGGCCACTTCATTTCCAAGCTTCGGCAGCGTTCTTGCCGTGTGTGCAGGCTGCTGGGGCCCGAAGGGAACGTCTTCTTGTCCTTACAGCAACAACTAGTGTTGGTATTGTTGTTGTTCTTCTTCTTCTTCTGCATTCATTGCTGTTGCTGCTGCGGCTGCTGCGGCTGCTGCGGCTGCTGCTGCTGCTGCTGCTGCTCCTCCTCCTCCTCCTCCTCCTCCTCCTCCTGTGACTACTACTACGACGACGACTACTACTACTACTTCTACTCCTGCCACTCCAACTACTCCTGCCACTCCAACTACTCCGACTGCTCTAGTACTTCTACTACTCGTACCATTTCCACTGCTCCTACTGCCCCTACTACTTCTGCTACTCCTGCTACTCCTACGACTCCTATCACTCCTACTACTCCTACAACTCCTACTACTCCTACTGCCCCTACTACTTCTACTACTGCTGCCAATACTGCTACTGAGTGCTAGTGCTCTGCTGCTGCCGCCACTGCCACGCCAGTACCACTCCTACAGTTGCTCCTAATCCTACTCCTACTCGTGCTGCTCTCACTGGCTGCTGCAGCTGCGACTATGCTGCTACTGCTACAGCCAACGACATCTACTTCCGCCACCGCCACGGCCACCGCCACTATTGCCAAGGGTGCCCAGTTCTTGTAGGATCTTGTGGGTTTCCTCAGGGTTTAGGGTTTAGGCCGCTTGGCTTCTGGGCTACACGGCTCACAGAAATTCCATGCCAAGGCCTGCAGACCAAGTTTCACCGGAGGCCTCTCGAAACTGAGGGCCTCCTCAGGCTCCTTTTGGACGGGTCTTGACCCATGAGATGGAATACATTACAATGGAATACATTACAGAAAACCGTTGCAGCTGCCGAACCGCTTTCGAGATTCAGGGCTTCCCCATGGCTTTGGGGGGAAGCATCGTTTAGAGCCATGGGGTCTTGATGGGTTGGTGGATTGCGTGAGACTTTGGTAGAAACCAACTGGTCCTCCATTTCTTGACGACATCTCAGATCTGAGACCCTTTACTACTACTACTACTACTACTACTACTACTACTACTACTACTACTACTACTAGTACTACTACTACTACTACTACTACTACTACTACTACTAGTACTACTACTACTACTACTACTACTACTACTACTACTACTACTACTACTACTACTACTACTACTACTACTACTACTCAGATCTCAGACCCTCCCAGCTTTGTAGTGAGTGCTGGGTCCTAGCTCAGGCCTTTGGAAATCCTTGGGCCCTCGGTCTTTCGTCCTTCCAAGGGTAAAAGGAGGGACCCTTAATAAGGACCCCTAGGTATATACCCTTAATATAGCTATTATATACCCATGATATATAGCCCATTATAGGGTAGGGGTCCCCATTAAGGGTCCCTCCTTCTGCCCTTTGAGTCCTTGAACTCAGAGGCCTTGGGTTAGGGCCTTGGGTTCAGGGTTCAGGGGTTTGTGGTTCAGATTCAGCATTCAGGTTAAGGACTCAGGGGCTTGCATGCTTATGATCGCATCGCAAGTTGCCTGTTGATTTACAGCAGCAGACAGGTGAGCAAGCCCAAACGAATCGAGCTCGGATCTCAGCAGTTTGGGGGTTTAGGGTTTGGAGGTTTAGGGTTTCTGACCCCTGGCATTGTCACTGAAACCCCTCTCGCGGAACAACCCCTTGAAGCTCTCTTCGAACCTTGCCGATCCCAGACATGCCGCAAGCCCCAAATCCCTATAACTTATGGACTCCAGCCCTACTTGTAAAGCCAGACAAGAGAAAGCACCCAAGCTCCAGACTCCAACCCCTAAATTAAAAAACCTAAACACCCAAGCCCTAAATGCCTATTCCTAAACCCTAAACCCTAAACTAAACCCCTACAAAAGCCCAAGCTCCGGCCCTAGACCCCAAACCCTAAACCCCCGCCAAGCGACGCCTGCACCATGGAGTCCAAAATCGGGCGAAGGCTTTCGAGCCTGGAGGCTGGTACGTTTTGCGTGGGGTTTAGGTTTCAGGGGTTTAGGGGTTTAGGGGCTTAGGGGTTCAGGGGTTTAGGGTTTAGGGTTTAGGGTGAGGGTTTAGGGTTTAGGGTTTAGGATTTTGGGCTTGAGATGTGAAGGGACCTAATAAGTAGAACAGAATTTGGGGGTTCCTTATTGTAGTACTGTAATCGTTCAGGCCCCTACAGTAGGGTCCAGGGTTCAGGGATTCATTGTTCTGGTTTGGGGTTTGAGGTTCGTTGTTTAGGGTTTAGGGCTTACGATTTTACCTTGCTGTTTCTGTCGTGGGATCGGGGCTTGAGGATTGAACGGATGTTCAGGGCTCGTTAGTTCTTTCTACAAGGTTTCAATTTTGGGCTTCGGTGCTTTAGGGTTTGGGTCTTTCGATATTGAGTTGTTCGGACTCTCGGTTTCGGTGTTCTTCAATTTTTTCCTGTTTTGGGTGGTTTTCGGTGTAGGCTTGGCGGGTGCGTGAAGAAAGTCTTGCGCGAAGAAATCAGCTTCACGAGGTTGGTTTTGGGATTTTTGGAGTGTGGGTTTAGGGCTTTAGGGTTTAGGGTTTAGGATTTTGGGTGTGGGTTTAGGGCTTCCGTTCTTTCTTTGCACAGGACTAGAACCGTCATTGCAGTGAAGTGAAGTGAAGAAGTGTGGGTTTAGGGCTTGGGGTTTAGGGTTCCACCAGACTGTCCGGAAGCTTGCACAAGATGATGATATGCATCGTTTAGATTTGGCTCATGTGTAGTTTCTGGTCTAGTAAGTTTAGGAATACTGGTAGTTTGCACAAAGGTTCGCCAATAATTTTGGAAAGGACCTTTGAGACCAGTATCTAATAGTATATAGTTGTAGCCGAACATTCTATGAAGAGGGCTATTCTGTTGGTTTTGGCCATCGCATTGCGATAGTTGTGTTTACGGTCGTTGGTGCGCTCTTCCACTCTATATCAAGCGCGAAGACAAACTGCAATCCCCAACTGTTACAACAAGGGGGGGGCTTAGCAAAATGCATAGGATGCTGAGGACAAACTCCTACGGTTGATGTTATAAATCCTGCATGACATAATAACATAATACTGAATATACCATAATTCCCATAGTTTAGGGTCCTTAAGGTAATGCCGATTTTTATCATCAACCGTAGTACAGTCATATCAGAGTCCGAGTTTCCCAAACCCACAGCCTGAAACCGAAAGAGGCCGAGCTGCTGCCCGCGGGGGAGCCGGTGGGTTCCGGCGTCCTCGCGCGCGTCGGGCGCCTGGAGGAAAAAATCTGGACGTCAGCGTGATGTTATGTTACAACATTATATTGAACAAATAGGCTATATTGTAGTATACTGTACAATCTGTATATGTATTTGTGTAATTATGTATGTACGTAGGTAGGCATGTATGTGTGTGTATATGTATGTATGTATGTATGTATGTATGTATGTATGTATGTGTATATATATATATATATATATATATATATATATATATATATAATGCATTTTCGGGACCCACAGAGCCGCGTAAGGAAGGACTATTCCTCACCTTGGCTGTGGGATTTCACGATGATTCACGGCCCATTCCTTGAACACCAGAAGTTTTGGGCTTTCTGGGTACGGAGCGGAGAGCAAGGTTGAGCATTAAGGTGAAGGTGCAGAATCTGGGTATAGGGTATAGTCCAGAATCCGAACCTGGGAGTTTCGAACTCAAGCCCCAAAGGCCGGGATTGCGTGCTAATTTGAGAAGCCGCAGCAGGCTACCTCAGAGGCGTAAACAGAACCCAGAGAACCCACTACCCCTTGATTAAGGAATATAGCTTAAATTATGGAGGCCTTAGTTTTATGATTTAAGGTATATCCCTTAATTAAGGGGTATTGGGTTCTCTGAGAATATGTCCATCCAACCCGAAAACCCACAGCAAAAGCCCGACCTCGAAGCCCGAAAGCTTCCAAACCCCGGTTGACGGTTTAGGGTTTAGGGTTTACTTGAAGGCTCATGGGACTTAGTAAGTAAGGTTATAAGTAGGTTATAATTAGGATAACCCCACTTAGAGGACTTATAACCCCAATTATAACCTACTTACTAAGTCCCATGATCCTCTAAGTAGGGAGCCAAAACCCAGTTGGGAGTTTCCGAAAATGGAGGGTACCTCATTTTGGGATCTTTATAAGAAGGATCCTACTATTTGGGGTACTATGTGAAGGTCCTCTATTTTCGGTAAACCCCAATTCCCAAAGCCCCAAACTCTAAACCCGCAAACCCAAAGATCCCAATACCTACCCTAAAAGTTGCCGACGCACCAATACCCTAAACCCCCAAAACCACCAAAAGCCCAAGGGCACCAAAAAGGTCCCCCCAAAAGCCCCAGAAGCCCCAAACCCTCGACCCTGAACCCCAAACCCTAGACCCTACATCTTAAACCCTAAACCCTTAACCCTTAACCCTGAACCCTAAACCTTTAACCCTAAACCCCTGAAGCCCTAAACCCAAAAGCCCTACAACTCTAAACTCTTAACCCCTGAATCCTTAAACCCTCCAAAAACCCCAAAAGCCCCAAGAAGCCCCCCCCCCTAAACCCTAAACCCCTAAAGCCCCCAAAGCCCTACAACCCTCAACCCTAAACCCCTAAAGCCCCTAAAGCCCCAGAAGCCTCCAGAAGCCCCCAAAACTTACCTTTGGTTAGTAGGGAATGGAAGAATCGTAGAAATAGTAGTTATAATTGTACCCCATTCCTCCATTCCCTACTAACCAAAGCCTTCAAAACAGGAGATTTTGGAGGGTGCTCCCGGCAATTCAGAGCTCGGCCTGGCGCGTCGACTGGAAAACCTCGAGGTGCAGGATTTTCGGAAGTTTTTTGTTCAAAATTTTGTTTAAATATATATTTTTTCGAAAAGGGTTGTGTAGAGTTGTTCTTGTAAGGGTTTACAGGGGGGTTTAGCAGGTTCTTGGATGGTTTTGTGCGGGTTTTGAGCTTCCTTCAGGGTTTCGAGAGGGGTTTGTGGCAGGCTCAAGGTTCAGGTTTAGAGTTTACGAGGGTTTCATGAGCTACAAATCCTCAGCCCGAAGTCCTAAACTCCCGAACCTTCAGCCCTAAACCCCCCGACACCGGGTCGCGAGGTGTTGGTTTTCGGTGCTGAGGGCGCGGAGGGCACGGCGGAGGCCGAGCCACAGGAGGACGAACTTCCGGAAGTGTAGGGTTTCGGGGTCTGGGGTTTCGGGTTTAGGAGGGTTTAGGGTTGAGCGGCTAGGGTTTAGGGGTTGAATATCGGGGCCGAAATAATTACCTATAGATTATATTATTGTGGGGGTTCCTTAATATGACTATAGAATTAAATATACCCCTCCCAACCCTATTCTAGTCATTCAGGCCCCCATATTAGGGGTTTCGGGTCTGGTGTTTCGGGTTTGGGGTCGTTGGCCTTTTTGGGTGAGGAGCTGTCGTCGACCTCGTCATCACTATCATTATACATGTAGTGTTGCTGATTGAAGTCTTTCTTGGCTCTGGCTTGTTTTCCGTCATGATTTTGACGAGTACCATCAGAAGCCCTGCAAAAGTTTAGTCATAAACTTTAGTCCTACGCTCCCATTTTCGTGATGATGGTGGTGGTTAGTGGTTGAGGTGATCGTGGTGGTGACGATGATGAAGATTCTTACGTTGTTGCCACTGTCGCTATCGTCGCCACCCAGAGTATGATCATCATACTTGGAGGATCATGGGACTTAGTAAGTAGGGTTATAAGTACCTTAATTGGGGTTACAAGTAGATATAACTCTAGTTACCTTACTTATTATACCCCTACTTACTAAGTCCCATGGTCCTCTAAGTAGCCATGGGAACGGCAGTCTGACTGCAGCTCTTATCCCTCCTTGGCAACACAGCCATCAGCTGGAGGCTCTGAAATGCTAAACCCTAAGCCCTAAATCGTAAACTGAATGCAGCCCAAGGATTTGGGAGTTTCCGAAAATAGGGGACCCTAATATAGCACCCTAAATAGTAGGATCCTTATTATCAGGACCCCAAAATAAGGTACCCCCAATTTTTTTCGGAAACTCCCATTTAGCCTTGAACCCCAAACCCACAGGCTTCGACCCCAACCCCTCGACCTGCGCTATGCTGGCGCCTCTCTGCCCTCTGCCCCATGTCCTGCTTGGAGGGTCGGGGGGCTTAGTAACTGGTTAGTTTAGGGACTTATAAGTACCATAGCCCCAATTAGGGTCCCTTTTAGGGTACTTCTAAGTCTACTTACTACCTACTTACTAAGTCCCCCGACCCTCCAAGTGAACCCGGAACCCTTCAACCCTTGAGCCATACAGCACTAAACAGTAAACCCCTACCACCTAAAACCCTTAACCCCTGATCCCCAAACTCCTAAGCTTAAACGTCAAGCCCTACACTAGACAACCCCAAACCCTAAACCCCTAACCCTTAACCCCCCTAAACCCTAAACCCTAAACCCCAACCCCTAAACCCTAAACCCGTAAACCCTAAGAAACCCTAAACCCTAAACCCTAAACCCCAACCCCTAAACCCCAAAACCCTAAAAAACCCTAAACGCTAAACCCCAACCCCTAAACCCCTAAACCCCAAAACCCTCAAAAACACCCTAAACCCCTAAACCGGTTAAAAAAACCTTTAAACCCTTAAAAAAACAACCCTAAACCCCTAAACCACTAAACCCTTATATAACAAAAACCCTAAATCCCTAAACCCCAAAACCCTTAAACAAACACCCTAAACCCCTAAACCCCAAAACCCCCTAAACAAAAGCCTTAAACCCCAAAACACCAAAACCTTTAAACAAAAACCCTAAACCCCTAAACCCCGAAACCCTTAAAAAAACAACCCTAAACCCCAAAACCCTTAAACAAAAACCCTAAACCCCAAAACCCTTAAACAAAAACCCTAAACCCCAAAACCCTTAAACAACAACCCTAAACCCCTAAACCCCTAAACCCTTACACAAAAACCCTGAACCCCTAAACTCTTAAACAAAAACCCTAAACCCCTCAACCTCGCCTTCAGAGGAGTTCGAGGACCTGGGCCCGGAGCTTGGGGAGCCCCTGAAGGAGCCCTCCGGGCCGCCCCCAAAGAGGTGGGCTTTCGGGTTTAGGGTTCAGGGTTTAGGGTTTAGGGATCCATAAGGGTTCCTTTAAAGGGGTTTATAGGGTTCCTTTAAAGGGGTTTATAGGGTTCCTTTAAAGGGGTTTATAGGGTTCCTTTAAAGGGGTTTATAGGGTTCCTTTAAAGGGATTTAGAGGGTTCCTTTGAAGGGATTTAGAGGGTTCCTTTGAAGGGATTTATAGGGTTTCGGGTTTAGGGCTTTCGGTTTTACGAGATTCAGGGTTGGGATATCAGGGTTAGGATTTCAGGGTTTCAAGGTTGGGGTTTCAGGTTTAGAGGTTTAGGGTTTCAGGGTGTGGATTTCAGGGTTAGGATTTCAGGGTTTCAGGGTTAGGATTTCAGGGTCAGGGGTTCAGGGTTTCAGGGTTAGGATTTCAGGGTTTTGGGGTTCAGGGTTCAGGGTTTCAGGAAAGTTTATGGTCTCTGTTGTGCAGAATTTCCAGGCACGTTGGGTTGATTTGGGTTTCAGGGCTTCTTGGGAGTGGGAGTAGGCTTTGGCTGATCGTTTCGATTAGCATTGTCTGATGTCGGTGAAGTGTTTGCTTTGGTCGTTGGGCTTTTGCCCTACATTCTGAACCCATGACACTAAACCCTCACCGAAATCCAGACCCGCACCCTACACCTCCTTGGAGGTTCATGGGTAGTTATAAGGGGGGTTATATGTCCCCTACTATGGGCTATAAGTACAGCTACCCCAGTTATAGCTACCCACGAACCTCCAAGTCTGTTCTGGGCCAGGCTGAAGCCGTCACCTGTTCCTGCTCCGGCTCAGCCACCTTCGAGGCCCACGAGGCCTCGGCGAGGAGCTCCAGCTGTTCAACATCCAGGCATGCACGGAGTTGGACATTTCGGATTTTCAGGGAGTAGCAGGTTGATTTCGGTTCGGCCCTTGAGGGAGTAGCAGTGTGATTTCGGGCTCATGGCTTCGCAGTTTATGAGTGATACTGATACTGATTTCGACTGTTCGAGAAGGGAGGCAACCTCTCTAGGGACTTTCGGTATGGGTAGCACGGGGCAGAAGTTGCGCATGGTAAATGCCCGAGCCGTGACGTTTGGTAGTAGTAATGGCCCAACAATATTTGAAACAACTCGGACACGTGCTGACGCATCATCATCATCATCATCATTATCGTCGTCCTCCTCCTCCTCCTCCTCCTCCTCCTCCTCCTGCCTCCGCCATCCTCTTCGTCAGGCTCATCTTCAAATTCTCAGCATCCTTGTATCATTCAAAGTTTGCCCACAGCCGAAGCACCCTCACGAAAAGGAGCCAGGGCGAAGCTGTTTTGTGGGGTGTTTCTGGCTTAGGGTTTAGGGTTTAAGGTTCAGGGTTGAGGGTTTAGGGTTTAGCGCCTCATCGGTCAGATGTCAAACTGCCTGGGCATCGGGGTTGTACTCGCCAGGCCTCTGAATCGTGGACGGAACAGTGCAAACACCTGTAGGTTTTCTAGTGGTCCGGGATCTACCAGCCACTTTGGCCCGAACGGAAGCAAGCCACATGCTGCGACTCAGGTCACGTGGATTTGCAGGCATATGCTCGGAGCTTTGGCCTCAACGACGATGCGATCAGAACCCTCCATGAGCTTCCTCCTGAAAGCTTGGCCTACGTTCAGCAGAACTTTGAGCCGCGAGAAGGCACCAAGAACATTTCGGCCCTTTTCATCAGCTTCTTTTTCATAATTGGGTACTTTTTTACATTTCTGTGGGAACTTTCGATTTTTAATACTATCCCAACCATGACCTGAACCCTAAACCTTGAACCCTAAACCCTAAAACCCCCTAAAGCCCTAAAGAAGAAGACCCTAATCTCTAAACCCTAAACCTTAAACCCTAAAGCCTAAACTCAAGTGGGCAGCACCTAAGCCCCTCGACATCGAGGGCGCAGAGCGACTCAATACGCTTGCCCGCCTCTCCACAGCCATGGGGGACCGTAGCACGTCGTACCCGGTACTGGTCCCTTAAAGTCCTTACCCTAAACCCCAAGGCTGATTTGCTGGGGCCTGCTGCCTGCCTGCCCTGCCCCTGCCCTGCCGCCCCGCCGCTCCTGCCCTGCCCTGCCCGCCCTGTCTTGGTGTGTCCTGCCCTGCCCTGCCCTGCTACTAAAGGAAGAAAAGCGCACTGGCAGGAGTTTAGGTCTAACCCCCAAAAGGAATAGGTTTGGGTGGTTTGGCCGGGGGACCCTATTTTTTTTAGCCCTTTTTTTTTTTTTTTTTTTTTTTTTTTTTTTTTTTGTTGGCCCCGCCGCGAAGGAAGGAAGGAAGGAAGGAAGGAAGGAGGGAAGGAAGAAGGAGGGAAGGAGGGAAGAAAGGAAGGAAGGAAGTAAAGGAGGCAGGCAGGCAGGGAGAGAGGGGCCCTGCCGCGGGAAGGAAGGAAGGAAGGAAGGAAGGACGGAGTGTGTATATATATATATATAGTATATACAGTATGTGTAGTATAAACGGTGTATACAGTATGTATGGTAGATGTAGTAGATATAGTACATATATATAAATACATAGTATATATATATACAGTATATATATAGTATATATATATAGTATATAAAGTATATATGTATATAGTATATATATATATATATGTCTGGTATATATATCGTATATATAGCATATACGGTATTTTTATATATATTATATATATAGTCTATATATATAATATGTATATATAATGTATATAGTGTGTATATATAGTATATATATAGTATAAGTAGTATATATAATATATATATAGTATATATAGTATATATAGTATATAAAGTACGTATATAGTATATATAGTATATATACTATATATAGTATATATAGTACATATAGTATATATATATATATATATATATATATAGTATATATAGTATATATACTATATACAGTATATATAGTATATATAGTATATATAATCAATATGGTATATATAGTAAATAAGAAGGAAGGAACAAAAGAAAGAAATCAATAAAGAAAGAAAGAAAGAGAGCCATGCAAGAACTAGAGAAATAAACAAATAAAGGATGCTACAAGTAAAAAAGAAAACAAGAATAGAGAACTAAGTAAATAAAGAAAGCTATAAGGTAAGAACAAAGAAAACACAAGGGAAAGAACCAAAGAGAGTTAGAAACAAAAACAAAACAAACAATGAAGAAATAACCAAAGAACAAAAACAGAGAAATAAAGAAATACGGAAGGCCATAAATTAATAAAGACAATCAGAAATAGTTAAAGGAACAAGAAAGACGCGGAAAATAAAGAAGAACGATACGTAAGACTATCGCTTCATTGTGCTTTTTTTGCCCTGGGTCCTAGGGGTGCGACGCTTAAATCGGCTTGACGCAGTTTCAGCGAGAACTAACGTCGCCCCGGAAGAAACAGCGAAGGAAGAACAGAAAGAACACGAGTACACAAACGAAAACGTAGAAACTACTTATGCTTTGCCTTACTCAGTCCACTGATCCTCCACGTCAGCAGCATTTCCCCTTGCCCTGGCGCGAAACCGCAGCCATGGCTTCTAACTACAAGCACGTCGCGCCCGACAACGACGAGGAGACCTGATCCTGAATCCCTAGAACTGAAGCGCTAAAACCAGAAAGCCGTTAAACCCTGAACCCTGAAGCCTAGACCCTGGCAAACCTTGTCAGTGGAGGCTTGCAGTATGGGAACCTTAGTCAGAGTGCAATGACCTTAAACCCTAAACCCAAAAACCCTGAAGCCTAAAACCCCATTAAATTTGGCAGTGGTTTATCGTTTGTGCTTACGTTTGTTCGAGATCTGATCCATAGTTTCGGATGTCGTTCTTTTTCTTGCTTAACTTGTTTTGATGCTTGGATCCTATGATACTTATAAATTTGGGTAAACCAGCAAGGACTTTGCAGTGACGCCACCAACAACAACACTACTAGCCAAGGGAAGGAAGACAGGAAGAAATAAATCACGAACAAATCGAAAAATAGAAAGATAAACGGAAAGAACCAACCACAGAAAGACAGACAAGGAATGATCGAACGAAATACAGAACGCAAACCCAAAAAAACACAAGGGAATAGAACAACACAGTAAGAAAGACAGAACAATCACGCTGAATGGCTGCAATTGCCGTATTTTCATTTTTTGATCCTTCTTTGATTTTTGTTTGACCCTCGGGTTTTTTTATCCCTACAACTAGAACTAAAACTGCAACATACTACACCTACAACCACAACGCCAACAACAACAACACTACTAGCAACAACTACACCACGAAATCCGTCCTAAATGCGAAATTGTAGGAAAAATTTGATTTTCCCGAGGAATAAGCTAGGTAACGTATGTTTTCCTTCGGAAAACCTGAAGAAATGCCACGAACGCCGTTGGTGATGGGAAAATAAGTTTTTTTCCTAGGAAAAACCAAAGAAAACTTAGAGAAATACAACGGAATCCGTAGGAAAATCGTGTTTTCCCCAGAAAAAACCAAGCAAATCCTTAGGAAACGAAAGAAATCCATAGGAAAGCAGTGTTTTCCCTTGGAGATTCCTGTGGAAATACAGAAAATCCCGAGAGAAGAGCTGTTTTTCCTGTGCAAATACAGAGAACCCAGGAGCCCAGGGCAGGGAAAAAAAAAAAAGGGCCAAAAAAAAAAAAAAAAAAAGGGCAAAAAAAAATTCTCCACCCGTTTGGCCGCCTTATACGGCGTGGGGTGGGAAAGAATGAAGGAAAGCCTGCTGTAGGCAGGCTTTCGCAGCTCATCGCCACAGTACGATGCACTCGACACAGCCTTGTCGCAAGATGCTATCGCCTACGCGCCATTCTACGGCAAAACCTTACCCGAAACCCTAAATCCTAAACCCCCTAAAGCCCCTAAAGCTAAAGAAGAAGGCTTTGCGAGGAAGTCTCACTTCAGTCGCACCGGCCAGCAGTTGGGTAGGCAGTCCGCGCAGGAGCCCGCTTGGGGTGTAGGGGTTTAGGGTGTAGGGTTTAATGTTGGAACCTGATTAAGAAACCTTGGGCTTGTATTCAGGTTCCTTACATGAATCCTACTGTTTTGGGGGTTACAGGCCGAGGGTTCTTAACGGACCAGGTTCCTACATTAGGGTTTAGGGGTCCTTCCTCCCAAGCCTCGGGTTTGGGGCTCAGGGGTCCTTTCCAAAGCCTAGGGTTTGGGGGTTTAGGAAGTTTAGGGTAAATCTTGACAAGGCCATGCCCTGAACCCAACTGCTGCGCAGTGTCCGGAAGGTAGTTTCGATGATCTGCAATCGGGGGTTCGGTGCCATGGGTTGTTGCTGTTGTTCGAAGCTTGCAATGGGTTCGCTCATTTTACCTCGTTCTTCTGTTGCTTTTTTCAGTCGTTTTGCTGCTATTGTTGTTACCGGTGCACCGGGCATCCAACCGCCGCTGCCGGCATCTTAATCTTCCCCTCCTCCTCCTCCTCCTCCTCCTGCTTCCCGTTCTCCTAGTACTGCTATGACGATCGCTGCAAAGCCTACTTCCCGCTTCTGCTGCTTACCGACCGTATGGGTTCTGTTGTCGACATGACGCACTTTTCGGCATTGGTGGTTCGATGGTGGTTATGTTGTCATCATGATTGCGGTAGGATTTGTTGGGTTCGGAATAGTCTAAAATCAAAGACTCCACCTGGTTTACATGTCGGCGAGGAGCGAGCACAGGGCTTGCTTGACGAGTTTGCGCAGAGGCTTGGTCCCCCAAATGCTCCGGGTAGATTACATTGTAAACATGATGCTAGGGTTTAAGGTTTAAGGATCGATCTTTTGACGGACTTCTCGCTGGATAATATTGCTTTCATCTTGGTTGCTCTAATTCTGATGATCTTCTTTTGCTGTTCCTCGAACCATTCCCGTTCTCGTTATCTCTAATGTGACGACAGGTTTACAGCGTACAGGCCAAATCGTTTTGAGTTTGCAGTTTGTTTTCTTGGGTGTTTCCCGCTCTGAACCTGAACCTCAAAACCTCAGACCTCCCCCCAACCCCAACTCCCCCCCCTCCCTCAGAACCTCAAACCCCTTCCCAGGAACCATCCACACCTCCGCATCTCTTAACCTCCAACCTCCTCACCCCTACCTCCCCCTTTTCCCAGCTCCAAACCTCAGAACCTCGAAACCCCGCCCAAACGTTGGGACCTCCAAACCTCGGATCGGGACCCCACCCCCTCGCATGCCGCGCCGTTTAACCCAAAGCTTCTGCTGTGTTCTCAAAAGAGTCGACGTCCAGAACCTGAGCCCGAACCCGAACCCTCCCTTCCCCTCCCCCCTTCAACCCTTCCTAGCTAGCACTTTGGGGCATCTTATATCTGCTCTTATTGGGCTTAAGAGAATCTTGCCTACTAATGTTTTTCAAAGGCTTTGAAAGCCCCGCTCTTCTTAATCTTACCTTTGGTTAGTAGGGAATGAGTAATACGGTTGATGATATAAATCCTGCATTACCCTAAGGATCCTAAACTATGGGATTTATGGTATATTCCTTATTATGGGTAATGCAGGATTTTTGTTATCAGCCGTAGTAGTTATAATTGTACCCCATTCCTCCAACCCCTATTAACCAAAGGTAAGTAATGCGTCAACGCTGGAACCTCCGAACCTCGGAACCCGCGAGGTGGGGCACTTAACTGAACCTTCCTGGACCCTAAGGAACCTACCCTTTTAGGGTTCCCTAATATGATTTCTTTATACAAGTCCTTAAAAAGGTAGGTTACTTGGGGGTTATGACTAACTCTCAGGCCCTAAAACCCCAATCTCCCCAAGCCCAAACCCTCAACTCCAACATCTGAAGCGCAAAACCTCAAGACCCCAACCCGAAGACTTACCTTTGGTTAGTAGGGAATGGAGGAATGGGGTACAACTAAAACTACTATTCTTCCATTCCCGACGAGCCAAAGGTAAGAAGAAGCACGCCTCAGGTGGGAGTTGAATTCTGATGCAGTAGCATGGCTGCAGATGATCGATGACCAGCTGGCTTTGGAGGAAGTCGTGGCGAGCTTCCACCCGAGCCCAGGCGTTTTGGGGTTTGACGCTATTGCCGCCGTGTGTACTTCAACTACGATGTGTGTTGGGGTAAAGAGTTGTGGCGCAAAATGCTTCGAAGATCTTAGATTTCACGCTTCGAAGATCTTAGATTTCATGTTTCGAAGATCTTAGATGTCATGTTTCGAAGATCTTAGATTTTGGCGGGGTTAGTGTTGTCTTTTTGGGGGTGCAGGGTGTCTAGCCTCCGGCCCGGTTTCGGATTCTACTTGGAGGTTCATGGGTAGTTATAAGGTTTCCTTGAAGGGCCTCTTTGAAGGGTCTGTAGGGACTTAGGGTTTAGGGTTTAAGGGTTTCGGGTTTAGGGTAGTTATAAGTGGGGTTATAAGTCCCCTAAGATGGGTTATGAGTATAGTTACCCTACAGATAACCCTACTTATAACTGCCCATGAACCTCCAAGTAGGGTTCAAACGTGTTGGATTTTTTCGGTTGCGGGCTTGGGAATGCGAGGTGTCAAATACATTGGGGCCACTTATAGCTACACTGAACCCTAAACCCTTAAACCCTAAACCCTAAGTCCCTACAGAACCCTAAACCCTAAACCCTAAACCCTAAAGAGGCCCTTAAAGGAATCCTTATAACTTGCGGGTTGGGGGGCTCGGTGTCTTGGGTGTCTAGGGGTGGCGAGTCGGGGGGCCGGGATTGAGCCCATTGACTTGCACGAAGTTTCCCTAAACCCTAAACCCTAAGCTCTAAATCCTAAACCCTAAACCCTAAGCCCTAAACCCTAAACCCTAAAGCCTAAACCCAACCTAAACCCTAAAGTTTTTTTCTCGCTGGCAGGCACCACGAACATCTCTGCAAAGCTCATCGGCTTTGCCAAGAGCGTTTATTGGCGCAACACTGGGAAGCAGCTCATGGACCCGAGGCAGTGGCACTATGGGTGAAGCCAGCTGAAAGGAGAGTTGCACCCAGTGGATGCTCGCCGACAATTTCGTTGGCGGTATTGGTTTATCATATCCCTAAACCCGAAACCCTAAATCCTCAACCCTAAACCTTAAACCCTCAACCCTAAACCTTAAACCCTAAATCCGAAACCGGAAACCCTAAACCCTAAACCTTCAACCCTCGACCTTAAACCCTAAACCCTCAACCCTAAACCTTAAACGCAAAATCCGAAACCCTAAACCTTAAACCCTAAACCCTCAACCCTAAACCTTAAAAACCCTAAATCCGAAGCCCTAAACCGCAACCGGGCTGCGCCTGGTTGGCTGATGCTCAAAATGCGTTCAACTTGTTGCTGCAGGTGCTCGAGCTGTGGCTGAGATGTAACAAAAAGCCCAGCATCGTTTGGTTTCGGGTTTAGGGTTTAGGGGTTTAGGGGTTGAGGGGTTTAGGGTTCAGGGGTTTAGGGTTTAGGGGTTTAGGGTTGAGGGTTTAGGGCGTCTGGGGTTCAGCAATGTCCTGTAGCTCGCTAGGTTCTGTGGGGAGTGGAAGCAGCACGCCGGGCACTTCGTGTCAGATGGTCTGAGTAGCCAGGACTGCTTAGAGGCTCATGGGACTTAGTAAGTAAGGTTATAAGTAGGTTATAATTAGGATACCCCCACTTAGGGGACTTATAACCCCAATTATAACCTACTTACTAAGTCCTATGATCCTCTAAGTGGTCAGAGCAGAAACCAGGCCCGATTTGTCCTTCCAAGTTGCTCTGCTCTGCAGCCCAAACCTGCATTGAAATCCAGTTAACGCCCTGAAAGCCCCAAAGCTCGACCGACGACCAAGCAGAAGCGACAGTCATATGCTTGAAACCGCAAGAGGATTATCATCGAACTTCCAAGGCTTTAACTTCAAGTCAAGAAACGAAGAGGAAGAGCAGCAAGAGTTATGAAGTCAAGTCACGTGGCCTGCTGGTCGGCGCACATGTGGGTGTACTGAGGTTATGGATCACTGGGTTGCCCCCTCACCAGGTGTATCTCTGCACTTGCCTCGCGGTCTCAGTAATCTTGACGTGCATTGGCTTATCTGCTTTTCGTTGACCGATGCAGGAGCTGACTGAAGCTGTCCCGAAGCCCTAAACCCTAAACCGTCAACATCATGTTTGTCCAAGACCTCGAGGTGGGGATAAGTAGGAGCAGTATCCCTGTAAAATCCCTGTAGTGGCATTGTAGTATACGTTTCCGAAACCTCTTCCAATTTTTCAGGCCTCTACATTATAGCATGCCCCTTAAACCATTTAAACAACCCCTAAACCCTAAACCATCTAACATAAACGCGAAACTAGGGTACCCTAATATAGTACCCTAGATCGTAGGATCCTCATATCAGGACACCAAAATAAGGTACCCCTATTTTCGGAAACTCCCACATGTCCAGCCGCCCGACAGCTTTTTATCCCGAGAGCGCTTCTTCGGCAACATACACCCACAACCTGTAACCCCTAAGCCCTAAACCCTAAACCCTAAGCCCCTTGATATTTGTAAGGAATATTTCTTACTTCGGCGATCTTGGGCTCTTTGTCTTTAGGTAGGTAAATTTGACAGACTTCCGGAAAAACGCCGAGCGATGCCATGGCACGCTACAGGCAGGGTGCTATCATTTGGGCATGAAGAAACATAGCAATAATTGCGAGAATAATGGTCATCACTATTCTTACTATCGCTATTATCAGTATTATGAACCTATTGCTCTTTGTAGTGTTGTTGATGCTGACACGGTTGTTATTGCTGGTCTTAGTTGCTCGTTTCTTGCCATGGCAACTGTTGTTGCCGTTCTTCTTGTTATCACTGCTGCTGGAAGCGAGGCTTGTATGGCGCTGTGACGAAGGCCCAGCGCGAGGGCACCCAAGGGTTGAAGCATTGATCGTTTACTGTCGAGGCCTTGATAATGAGCGTGGTGTTCCACAGGGCTCTTCATTAGATGCTTAGTGTAATCATTCGGAAAATGTTTTTAGCTCGGTATCATCAGGCCCCGCAGCATAAGCCCTGAGCCCAGTATAAGTCCAACGCTAATCGGCACGCTGCATGAACGCTGAACCCGGCTTGCAATCGCAACCCTAAATCGCAAACCCAAAGCCTACCTTAGGCCTCCAGTCGAGATCTGAAACCTAAAGCCCAAAAATCTAAGAAGAGGGCAAAGCTCATGCTCCAAATCCGAACAGAAGTAGCAATGGTGCACGAGTAATTCTAGGAACGGTACTCGCAATGGCCATAGTTAAGTTTTGATAGTATGCACAATGATAGTACAATTATCAAGAGTGATGATGATGGACCTCCATCAGCATTAGCATCTGCATCAGCGTCGTCATCACCATCATCATCATCATCATCGTCATCGTCATCATCACGATCATCATCATCATTTTCAGTCCTTTAGCTCATCCGCCATTAGGAGCTGCAACACAAGAATACCCAGGGTTGCAACATTCTCCACCCCTAAGATATTAGTGTTTTTGTGAGCGTGCGCGCGCGCGGGTGTGTGTGTGTGTGCGTGTGTGTGTGTGTGTGTGGGTACGTGCCTGTCTATGATGAGTGCAGTATGAGAACCCACGCCGCCCAGAGAGATCTTTCTGCGGATATCTCCTGGTTCAAGAGCCGACGGGCTCCAGCTCAATGCAGTGAAGTGGTCGAGGGGAACGAGCGAGGCGCAGACAGCCCGGGGAATTTTGCAGGGCTCAGAGAGAGGTTGGTCGGGGTAAGCGTTGCAGGGTTGGAGCTGGGGCTTCGGGATTGTAGTAGGGGTATTTCAAGCGCGTGTTTGAGGGTTTCGACTCTTTGGAGGGTGGGGCAGGCCGTTGCGCGTGTTGCCAAGGGGTGCCTGGGGTCCGCTAAGTGTGGGGGGTTTCAGGTGGGAAGAGGGTCCTGGAAGCCACTCTGACTTCGGAGGGGGGTTGGAGTTTTTTTGGGTTGTAGTCTCAGTCTTCAGAGGCCCCTAATGTAGGAACCTGATTCAGAACCCGGGCCTATAACGCCAAAATTGGAGGATTCATAGAAGGAACCTGAATAAAGGCCCAAGGTTTCTTATTCAGGTTCCTACATTACACCCTAAAGTGCCGGAGGCTCCAGGCCCAAGGGTGGAATCGATGATCAAAGAGCACCTGAAACCTGGCCAGCGGAAGACCCCCCAAAGCTTCGGGTTTGGGTTTAGGGTTTAGGGTTTAGGGTTTAGGGTTTAGGGTTTAGGGGCTATTCCTGGTATCTTGTCTCATATTCTCATCCCAATTTCTTCTGAATTTTGAGGCCATGTTCCGGCTTGGCTATGTTGCCCTCCTGCTCAGCGTTTTCAGTGCCCGGGCCTGGACAGTAAGCTGCGGCAGGCGGATGACGCTTGCCATCTGTCCCCTAGACCAGAACCTGCGAAGCCCAACCCTAGACCCTCAACTCCTAAACCTAAACCCTGCGGATCAGCCGCTGCTACGAAGGTGGAACATTGGAAGCCTCGGCCCTCTCCGGCAATCGGAACCAAACCCCTAGTCTACGGTTTAGGGTTTAGGGTAGGGGCCTTCATGATGAAGCTCAGGTTTTTTGGGCTTACGGTTTAGGGTTTAGGGGTAATGTAGAGGCCGCAACAATTGGAATAGGGTTTTGGGTTCTTTGAAACTATAATGAGAATAAGGAACCCCCAAAATAGTACCGGCAATTATTTGAGCCTCTATATTATATGAGTATATTATGGTACCGAAAGAAAGACGGCCACCCAGTATTCAATCCCCAAGATTACACCCCCTGGCTTCAAGCTTTGCTCTGAGGTTGGAGGGTTGGCTTCGGGCTCTGACCCGCTCGCTGCGAAGAAATTGCCATCTTGTCAAGCTCTCACTGGGTGGATATCTCAGAATTCTGGGTTTAGGGTCTAGGGTTTAGGGTTTAGGATTTGGGGTGTAGGGTCTAGGGAAGCATCTCATCCTCATGTATCGCCGTAAGATCCTATGGACCCATCTCCACCACGCCCGAACCCCCGTAAATCCAGAACCCTAAACCCTAAACGCTAAACCCTAAACCCTAAACCCTCAGAGCCCAGGTGCAGAGTGCATAGACCAGCATGCCCTGCGGCTAAAGCACCAGACACAGGAGGTGTCGAGCTGTTTGTTTACTGTTTTGGGTTTAGGGTTTAGGGTTTAGGGTACAGGGACCTTAAGAATTACCTATACTACTTTGGGAGTTTCCTATTGTGATTATAGTATCAAAGGGGAAAAGGAGGGACCCTTAATGGGGACCCATACCCTATAATGGGCTATATAATGGGCTATATTAAGGGTACATACCTAGGGGTCCTCATTTAAGGGTCCCTCCTTTTACCCTTGGAGTTTTTGGGAGAGAGTTTCTTTTTGCCTTTCGGTGAGCCTGCTCAAGCACTCGCTCGAATGAGGTAGGAGTTTCGACAGTCTTCCCAAAAGCTTGGGGGCGACTCGGGTTTAGGGTTTAGGGTTTAGGGTTTAGGGTTTAGGATTCGGGTTTCGGGTTTTACAGATTCAAGAAGAAGCATCTTAAATGATTACTGACGCTATTACGTACAAGGTTCTAATGATTGTAACAATATCAGGTACCCCAGAACCCTGTTCTAATGAAGGCCCCCTTGCTAGAGTTCGTCCCGGCCACGTGTGGCACAAAACCATACCCAGGCACATTTGAGGGTCTGGGGAATTTTGGGGTTTTGGGTTTTAGATGATACGGTTTGGGTGTGATTTTCGGAGTAATCTGGGCGGCCAGCGGTTAAAGCTTCAGCGTGCTCAGTGCCATTGCCGCTGCTGTGACTGTTGCAGTGGCTGCTGCGCTTTGGTGCTGATTTTGCTGCTGCTGCTGTCACGTGACTGACGTGACTGCTGCTGCTACTGCCACTACCACTATCACTGCCACCCACTACCACGACGACCAGTACCACGAGCACTACCACTAGCACGACCACGACCACAGGCGCGACTGCGACTGATTGCGACTTCGACTACCAGTGCTAC